CTGTGCCAGCAACTCACTGCCCTATGAGTAAAGAATTTCTACCTAACACCTAACCTAAATTTCCCCTCCTTCATTTTAAAACCATCAGTCCTTGTCCTAACAATACAGGCCTCAGTAAGAAAGTCTCTCCTCTCCTACATTATAAGCCCCTTTAAGAATTAAAAGGCTGCAAAGCAATCTCCCCAGAGACTTCTCTTCTCCAGGCTAACAGTGAAGATATAACAATAAATGGTGACATCTCAAAAGGAAGAATTAAGGAACAATGTCAAAACGCAGTTGCTCTCTGCTGGTTTCAGCTGCTGCTCTGACAAGTTCAGAAAGTCACACGCTCTGCTAAATGTCCATCCTCCTGCCTGCAGTGGTGGAACACCCGCGGAGGTGTCCCTGCCACCCGAGGCAATTGGGCTGTGCTCTGGCAAACAGGGCTTCTGACATCAGCACCTGAGTAGGGTGATTCCTTGCACAAATTTATTTGCATTTCCTCGTCCACTGGTTAATCTGGCTGCCAAACATCTGCAGTCAGCTTTGCTGAGAAGCTAATTACAGGGACAGCCCTCCGAAGTACAGCTGGCACTGGGGGGGCCATGCTTGTCTCATCACCTCCTGCCTGAGAGCTGGAGGGAATTTGTCTGCTGGGAAGCCATTCGGGAAGAAACCTGACTGTGAGAGGCAATCTTTTCCCGAATTCACCTCTAAAAGCCCTTTCTGTTTTATGTGCCTTTCACCATGCTTTATTTCTGCCTGGTCAGTACAGTTTTTTCACATGTTTCTGCCTGGTTGTGGTTTTTCCCAATTCTTTGGGAGGTTTACTTGGAACTGGAAAAAATCACTGTGGTTTTCTTGGTTTAATTGTGGCTTACCTTATCACTCAGGTTGGAGATCTGGCACTTCTGCAGAGTCCCTTACTGTGGTGCTGGAAGGGTGCAGAGGACCTGCAAGTGGGATTGGGATTCCTCAGGGCTAGTGGGGTCCTAGCTGCCGATAACTGGGCTGCTTATTCTCTGTAGTTCACTGACTTTGAGGTTTTAAGGTTGTTGAATTTGTTTAATCTAACAGCAAAGATTGGAGCATTTCCTTGAATTGGTTTCCACTCTGGGTTCAGTAGGTGGGGATGGACCAAGGTGTGCATTTCTGTGGGAGGAAGAGAGGTGAAAGTGGAGTCTGATCTTAGTTTAAAAATTGCCAGTACTGGAGCTTTGACCATACCTATTGGAGGACTTTTCCATCTGTTAATTCACTGCAGCATTGAAAAGTGATATCTTTGGTCCTGGTTTGTTTTCTGTCAAGCTTCAACTTTCAACCCTTGGTCTTGCTTGCCTTTGTCTGTTAGACTGGAGAGCACTCTTACTGACAGGTACTTACAGGTTATGAGGTACCTTTTAACTTTTCCTTTGATTGACTTCCCTGAGCTCCTTGGTACAAGCCTGGTTTTGTTCTTGCAACTTTTCTCTGAACTCTCTCCAGTTTTTCCAGAATTATTCTTGAAGTGTGGGTATAAGTATAAAACCTTGCACTCCATTGACTGCCAACCCATGGCCCAAAGATAACAGGGCCTCTCTGCTGGTACGTGACATCCATCATTTGTGCATCCAAGCGTTGTGGACCTGCCTGGTGAGCTCATGTTGGGCTAATTATGCCTCTTGCCTCTGCCAGTCCCGTAGGTCTCACACGTTTGAAAAGTTTCCATATAGCCATTTCTTTAATACACTAAGCACCTCATTAGTCTTTTTGATTTTTTTTCCCCTGATTTGTAATCTAAAATAAGTTGTAGTCCAGCCTTTCTCACTGTACCAGCCTCATGTCAAAAAACATATATGGCTGAGAGTTGCTGGTATGTATTTTACAAAGTAGAGGGAAGGTAGTTGGTTAACAAGAGGGATTTCACAGAGTTATATCACCAGGAGACCACACTGGTGCAGAGGAAGCCATGTACCAATGACCCCTAGAGTCCAATGATTTCTCTTACCACATCATCTCTGGTTGAATCACTTTATCTTATGAAAATTAACCATAGAGAGGGTTAGCCTGCCAGCCCCTTGCCGGCGTAATCCATCATTGCAGCACCAGGCTCCTTGCCTTGGAGTCGTGGACTGACAGCCCCACTGAGGGTGCTCAGTCAGTGCTAGTTTATTTCTAGGCATTAGACACAATGGGCTTACAGTCTTTCCAATTGGCATGCTTTTATTATCAGTTTTATTTTGTTTCTTACGTATAGTAACTCAGTGGAAACAAGGGTGTTGATCTGATGAGAAATCTGGAAAGCTTTTTGGAAATAATATCCAGATGTTTCCTTAGCACATCTGCTAAGTTGGTTGAAGACAGTGCATTTAGCATCCCTGTTGTTGCATTTTACTACCTGTTGCTGTGTGTGATGCTAGTCTGTTAGTAATGAAGGAATGGAAGAGGCAGAGGTTCAGACAGCCACGTGCTGAGGAAACTGGGGTGGGGAAGGCAGTACAGATCAGAACACAAATTATTCTTGCTTTTAGCATTCGGGTTGCATGTTTGTAGGTCTTGCATGTAAGTGTCGCCTGTTGTAAGCACTGTGGCCCGTGGATTTGCTTGGTTATGAGTGACTGTCTACCTTTTGCAGCTCAGCAATGTTTGTAAAGTGTCTGTCTGAAGTGGCAGTACTTACTTCACTTCAGACAGGGCAAGCCCCGCTTTCGTAGATATCCTCGTCAGTCTCCTTATTTGTGGGAAATTCTTTGGCTCCCTGGCTTGTATCTGTGTTTAGCACTTCAGCACTGCATTGCTCACACACTTGCCAGGATTGTCAGCATGCGCTGTACCCCCTGGGGAGAGTCGACTGCAGGACAGCTCAGCAGCCCCTGGCTGGGGTTCCTGCAGGGGTACTGCTGGAAGCTGTGCTTTCCATGTCACTGGGTCAGCTCTGTGCCCTGCTGACAGGAGTATTCCTGGCAGCTGGAGGATAACACGCCATTATTCCAGATGCCCTAAGCCATACAGTCTCCTTATGGGCTCCATATTCCAAACTCTGGATTTACAGTCACATTTCTTTTGATATACACCCAGCCTTAGTATTCATTGAATCTCCTTACACCGCATTGCTCCTACTCCCCTTTCGCTGCTTTCCTTAAAGACTTGTAGATAATTTTCAGTGTTACAGCACGTCTTCAGAGCAGACCAGCTTGAGGAGCTCATCAAAAAGCACAGATGTAGACACCCAGTCTTGAAAAGTGCACAGCAGCTCGAATGTCTGAATAATAGAGAATCTCCATCACTCAGAATTAAGTTAGTGTGTCATCTCCTTCCAGGGATGGTGAGGTGACACTGGAGATTGTCCAAGTTAAAGTGGAAGAAGAAGGTGGAAGCTTGTGGTTGATGTGTAACAAACTCTTCAGTGAGGAGGAGGCATGCATGTGGAAGATGCATGCGAGATGGATGGCCTGAAGGTCCGTGTTTCTTTCTATAATGCGTGACACAGCATCGTGACCTGGCCAAGGATGGGCCATCTGGTGCTTTGGTTACATGGCAGGAACCCTGGTTCAGTGATTCATAGGATGGAGACAAATGCTAGGAATATTTTCATAAAGCTTTTTCTAGCTCCTCTCTTCCTAGTTGTGATCCCTGTGATCCTAATAAGTGCTAGAGCTGTTCACTTCCAGCACACTAGTCATAGAATCATAGAACCAAAGAGTGGTTTGGGTTGGAAGGGACCTCACCTAGTTTCAGCCCTGTTTCATTTTCCACTGGATCGAGTTACCCAAAGCCCCATCCAATCTGGCCTTGAATGCCTTCAGGGATGGGGCATCCTCAGCTTCTGTAGCAGTACCTCACAGCTGTCTTAGTACAGAGTTTCATCCTAACATTTAATCTATATCTCTTCTCTTAGTTTAAAACTGTTGTCCCTTGTCCTAGCACTATCAGAGCATGTAAAAAGTTGGTTTCCTTCCTGCTTATAAGCTCTCTTTAAATTCTGAAGGGCCACAGTGAGGTCTCCTGGAGCCCTGTCTTCACCAGGCTGAACAAACCCAGCTCCTTTAGCGTGTCCTCATAGGAGAGGTGCTCCAGCCCTCTGATCATCCCTGTGGCTCTCCTCTGGACCTGCTCCAGCAGCCTCACATTTTTGGGGGAAAGCTTTAGTGATCTTTTAGAGAAGGTTGGCTACTGATTTGTTCATTTGAATTTATGTATATTTTGTTTTGTGTTTGAAGTGACTGTTTCTAATGCAAGTTACAGTGAAAAATGTAGAAGTTTATAATAGCCAAGGCAAAATTTCCAACTGTTGAAACAAAACACTTCCTATCAAAATTATTTTGTGTTTTAGCAACCTTCGGAATTTCAAAGTTTTTGTTGTTTTTTTTTTCTCACTCATTTAAAGTAGAAGAAAAAAACCAAAATCTTGAAACCCTGCAAAGATTATGGAATTATTCTGTTGTTTTTTTTCCAGCTGTATTTGACATCTCATGTTCAGCTCTGTTGGTTGAATGTGTGAGCAAGAACAAGGTGTTCTACTCTCAGTGCTGTAAGGTCAGGACATCCCTTGAAGGTGGACCAAACATTACACTTGTATGGGAGTAAACATTCCAGCTCTTTTAATAGTAAGAAAAAAAATTGTGTGAATCCCGAAAGTAGATATTAAAATTGTGTTTTCTTTGTAGGTTCATCCACTATTTGGATTATGAAGTTTGATGGGCTGTGATTTGGCTCAGATTTACATTATTTGGAAAAATATTCTGAACTCTCCAGACAGCCCCTGCCACAGACTTTCAGAACTGGCTGGTGTTAAGTGTTTATTTCCAGTCACACCAGGAGAGGGGGTGGAGTTGGATACTTTCTAGAAGAAGTAAAAATCAATACTGTGTTGCTGTCAGAAGTGCTTAAAGGGAGAAAAGCCTGGAGTGTAGCTCTCATTTTGGAGAGATTGATTTTTACTCAGAAGATTGTACAAGATACAGGAGGAAAGAGAAGATGTGATCCTGCAGACCTGCATCCTCACCTCTGCGGTGGGACTGAGGCTTCAAAAGGTAGAAGAATCCCAAAACAACCAAATGTTTTCCAAATGTTGAAGTAATGGGCTTTATTGCACTGCTTCATCCAAAGCCTCATAAGGAGAAGTACTGAGCTGGGAAAAGTAGAGCACAGCTACCTGTTCACCAGTTCTGGAGGACTGAAAAATGTTGGTTACAGGAAAGGAAGTTGATACTGCTGCAAACATTGCTCCTCACAAACACACGCGTCTCCTTGTTTTGTGCCCTGGAGTCCAGCGTGCTGAGATGGCTCCTTAGAGGCATCCTTAGAGGTGGCTGAGATTGCAGTGGGGCCTTGGGCTTGCTCTGTCCTGCTGGCAGAGTTCTATGGCTGGGTGGACACATGACTCCTCTGATGTGCTTTAGGTGGTCCAACTGGTTCATGTGAAGGCTGTGAAGTAGTAAGGATGGAAAGACATTAAGGCTCCAAGTGACAATGTAACCCACAAAATAAGAAAAAGATGAATCGTGCTTTTTATCAGACTCATCCTTTGAGGTTGCTGTGTGTCCTTTGAGGTGATGTTGCAGTCAAAGCCTTGTCAGCAAGTGCATATAGACGTGTATCACTGTGTTAATATTGTCTGATTCGATGGGAATGAAAGATGTTGGATTGAACCCCCCCTGAGATGACAACCTAATTCTTGGCAGATCAGTTTCCCCACTGCCCTTCACCACTGCGTCTCAGAACTGAGCTGGAAGGACCATCTTTTAGTATTAGTGAGAAACTGTTAATCTTCATGACTCAGTCTCTGGCTTAACTGGTGATAATTCTAGTGAGAATGGTGATGATTGGTAGATCTGGTGATGGGAAGACAACATTGATTTCATATTAATGAATAGGCTATCTGACCAAGCGTGTCACAGATAGCCTCTATATTTCTGCAGCTGCTTTGAATTGTAGGGGAGAAGGACACTTTGAAAGTCTAGGGCCACTCAATTCCTTGGAGAACCAACTTGGAATGTTTGCCATTGAACTGCTAGTTTCTGTTTTGGAATGGAGGTTCACATGTTAATCTTCAGTTTGAGAGTGAAAATCCCCCAGTTGAAGGTAATGATGGGGGAGTACGTTACATGTCGAGTAACAGCTGCACTGATAAAAATGCGAGGGAATAGAAATGGTTGTACAGAATGAAACCATTCAGTTTGTTATCTCAGTGTAGGTTAGGCAGCCAAGCCTGGCAATGCCTGCCCAGTATTGTGTTCTGCACATTAGCCCAAATCACCTAATCATAGGTGCTAAATTGAAGTGGGATATGGTAAATACTGACTGCATGAGTAGTGCTGCATGCCATAAATTTTAAACTTCTCTAACATCCAGGGTATATCTCCTGAAACTGGAGTTCAGCCCCTGGTTCTACTGGTGCTGTGTAGTTGTCACTTAACTTCTCATCTTCCTCCTTGCTCAGTAATTACTGACATTTCATACAGAGCACCCAGCATGTCTGTAGGGTGCTCATGTTCCTGTGTAATGAGTAGGACTTAATGAGGGGAACAAATCTTAGAAAATCCCACGCAGATCCACATTCATTGGTCATGGTACTGGTGTCTGTGATAGATTGATGCTCAGAAGAGAGACAGGGATGCTTTGGACAGCATAGATGAGCCTCTTGTATCTCTCAGGAGCCTCTTTCAAGTCTCCAAAGAAGAACATAGTGTAATTTGGCACTTATTATTTCATTGCATCAGCTTTTCTGAGCCTGGAAGTGCTCTTAGCACAAGCAAATAAATTACCCGTCTCATTTTGCTCCGTGCTCTGCAGCCAGCCATATGTTTGAGCCTGATAGAGATTCTTATCTCACAGGCTAAAATTACTCAATGGAGGATGACATTTCTTATCAAGGGCTTTGCTGAATCAGAGAGTGGCTCTGGCACCCAGCTCAGAGACACCGCTCCTTCTTGTCCCAGCCTGGCAATAAATGGATTTGTGTCTGTAGGTCAGAGGAGCTTGCGTCAAGATTCGGTTGCAGATGGATACTCTGAGAACTGTCTGTGCCTGGAAGGTTGCAAACAGCCATCTCCTTCTACCAGAAGCTTTTCTCCATACTTAAAGCTTGCATACATCTTTGTTTCTCCATCCTTCTTCCTTCTAATTAATAGTTATTTTCCTTCTTCTTTTTCTCTCTTGTGTTGCTTAGTATCTGTTAGCTGCCAATGATTCAGGGTATTCACCAGCTGTGTAGCAGGAAGAAACTTGTACTCTCCCTTTACCCATCACCTTTAAATGGGGGAATTTCACTCTCAAATTGAAGGTTAGCATGTGAATTTTCATTCCAGAACAGAAACTTACACTTCCCTGTGGCTTCTTCTTTTACAGCATCTTTCCTCCAGCTTTTCTATGCCTGGTCCAAGGAAGTTTTACCCCTTGGAACCTTCCTGGGCAGTAAATGAAACCACGCATTACTGACAAGGACCATTTAAATGTTCTCTGTGGATTTTTTCTCCCAAGTGGTCTCACACTATGGATAACTCATGGGCTGATTTGAAGACATTTCTGTGTCCTGTCTCCCACCCTCCCACTTTGTGTCCTGCACTCAGTCACAGCAAGCAGCATGGAAGTCCCAGCTCCTTTGTGCCATCACCTGCTGACTGGCTTGCCTTCTACACAGAGTTCCTTTCTACTCTGTTTTTCTTGCTGTATCATGGTGAGTCACCCTGGCCCCACTCATAGTCCTCGGCCAGGGCTGTCACTTCTTGGCCACATGCCACTGGTTAAGCAATGATGTGATGCCTGTTCCCTGAGATCACTGTTGGACAGAGGGCTTTGTGGTGGTGGATGGCCATCTGGCCCTTGGACTTTGCTCTGGGTCAGGTCCACGCAGTGCAGTCAGGTGTTGCCCCATTACCTGACATCCTGTGGCATGCCATGAATCCTAGAATCACAGAATATCCTGAGCTGGAAGGGATGCTGTGACTCATGATCATCGAGTCCAGCTCTTGGCTCCATAGGGAACCATCCAGAAATGAAGCCCTATGTCTGAAAGCATTATCCAAATATTTCTTGAACTTTGGCACCGTGGGTCTGTGCCCACCGCCCTGTGCAGCCCGTTCCGTGCCTACCACCCCCTGGTGCAGACCCTGTCCCTGACCCCCACCTGAACGCAGCTCCATGCCGTTCCCTGGGCCCTGTCGCTGTCACACAGAGCAGAGCTCAGCGCTGCCCTCCGCTCCCTGTGAGGAGCTGCAGCCGCCATCAGGCCTCCCTTCAGCTCCTCTGCTCTGTGCTAAGCGCACCCAGGGACCGCAGCTCCTCCCCATACGTCTTGCCCTTCATACCCTTCACCATTTTCGTAGTCGTCTTTGGATGCTGCCTAATTTTATGTCCTTATATTGTGGCACCCAAACCTATATCTGGTTCTCAAGGTGCAGCCACACAGCTCAGAGCGGAGTGGGACAACCCCTTCCCTCAGCCGGTTGGCAGTGCTGGGCCTGGTGCACCCTAGGACATGGTGGAGGAGTTGGGTCTCATGCCCCTGTGGGTCTGCCTCAGGTGGAGGTGATGGGCCATCATGGAAGGCACTGTGCTCAGGGAGAGGTAACCCACCAGCACAGTCAGCCCAATGGTGGTTGAGTCAGTCTGGCAGCTCCCCAGAGTCACTGGTTGCGGGCGACAGAGCATGGTGGGATGTGGGATGGAGCTGTGCTGGAGTCAATCTTCTGCTTTGGTGTTGCAGAAGTAACTTCATAGAGTGGTCGCACCCCAGTACAGGAAATACTTGTGTGCTGAGCACATCACCAGCCAACTGTTGCCCTCTGCTTCTGGGAGGCAAAGGCAGGAAGATTGAATTTCTATTGCAAGGTCCTCAGTCTTCAAAATCAGCATGATTTTTTTTTTAATATGTGATCTTTGAATTATCCTTTAATGTGTCTTTCTGCAGAATGGGGTCTGCAGAATGATTAGTTTCCTTTGAAAACCTTAGTTTTAAATAGTTTTAAAGAGGGAAGCGTGCCAGTGATGCTGTGCAATGGCAGAGGACGCATGCAGAAGGCAGTAATTCCAGGCAAAAGTAATGAGGAGTTAAAGCAAATGCAGTTTATGTAAAGTTATCATGAAGAAATTCAGCCTGGGAAGGACACCGAGCAGCAAAACAGCTTTCCAAAGAGAAACTGAGCATCACTGATTTGCTAGTGTGACATAGGGATGGATCCAGCTCTGTTCCCTGGGGAAGGGCTAGTGCATCTTTTCCATCTCTAACATCTCCAATTCCTCATATACGATGTAAATAATTTATAAGATTGAAACTAAATCACTGACTGTCTGTGCAGAAGGCAGACCACAGCCCAGAGCCAGAGGTGTGGGGGAACTGCAGTGTGCCAGGTGACCAGTGCCTTCAGGCTGGATTGGTGCCTGAGCTTTACTAAAGTCAACCAACAATCTTATTCTTCCTTCCAGCCTTGATCTTTTCTTCTTTTTTCCATATTTTATTTCCCATTCTCCCCCACCCTTCTTACTTTCCCTTCTGTTTTTCTCCTTTCTCCAAGTTTGCTGCTGTGTTCTGCTTTTGAAACATTCACAGCTCTTTCTGCTGGGCAGTACAAGTGTTCTCTGTAATGTGAGCCACAGCTATTTTGACTGTGTAGAAACCCAGCAGTGAGTGCTGTCACCACTGTAAAGGCCTGGTTTCAGCCTGGAAGTGAACAATCACCTGCCAGTGTAGAAGAGGAAAAAAAGCTGCAGAAAGTGTGAGGAGGGGTGGCTTCAGGTTGCAATGGGTGGGAAGCTGTTTCTCTGTATATTAGTATCCAGGGAGTACAAAACTCATCTGGAAGTGGTGGGTCATGGCCTAGAGAGAGCTGACCTTCGTGCAGCTTTCAACCAGGATTGCTGCTCAGGTGTTTTGCAGAGAGCTGCAGAAAGCAGAGCCAAATCTTTCTGGTTCTGCTGCTCCAGTGCTTTGTAGACTTCTCAACTGGAGCAGGAGCTCCAGAGGATTGGGGAAAAACAAAATACAGGATCAATCTACAACACTGAAGTGTGTACAAGTGTCCTTGAGCCAACAGAAATTCCCTTGGAATATCCCTCTTCTACAGATCGCTGGGAAACTGCTCTGCCTGCAAAGTAGGGTGGTGGTTGAGCATCATTACATAGAAAAGTGGTTTATTCTGGCTTATCTTATGTGGGCTTTCTCTTGGTGTCTGTTGCTGTATTTGCTCATTTCAGTGCGTGGTTGCTCATCCTTGTGCTGGGAGAGTACTTGTCAGTCTTCCTGGTCTCACTCATGCAAATGAATTTCTGCTATGTATGTTTTTAAACTCAATTATATGACTTTAAATTATATGTATTTCATTGCATGAGATACAGTGCCACCGTCTCTTTTTTGTGCTATTGTAAATATATCTGTTACATCACCGTTTCAAAGTATTGTAATAACAACATTGTAGACTCAAGTTTTGTATTACTCATAAGAGCAGGATGCTTGCTATTTCCTGGGATTCCACATTCCTTTTTTTTTTTTTTTCTGTGAGAATTATGTGAACTGTACTGGAACAGGCTGCCCAGAGAGGCTGTGGATGCCCCGTCCCTGGAGGTGTTCAAGGCCAGACTGGATGGGGCCCTGGGCAGCCTGGTCTAGTATTAAATGTGGAGGTTGGTGACCCTGCATGGGGCAAGGGGGTTGGAGATTCATGATCCTTGAGGTCCCTTCCAACCCTGGCCATTCTGTGATTCTGTTCTGTTTTCAACAAAGCATCCATTTAGGCAAGTTAATGAGGCTGTGGCCTTTCAGGTGCTTGGATCTGGAAATGTTTCCTCATTGCTCTGTCTCTTAAACAGCAAAGGGGTCTCAAAGAACCCAAGTCCTTCGCCTCCCACTACCCCTCACAGGAAGGGCCATGAGGTTGTTAAAGACTTCCTGACATCTAGCTTGAATTTCCCTTCTCTTAATGGAATTCACTTTGTTATGAGTTCTGTGATTGTTCTTTAAGATTCTAGTTTTTTTTTACAGTCTCCTTGTTTTTTCAAAGGTGGTTTGCTTTGAAGGGTGTCATTCTACCTTCAAATAGACCTGGGTGCTTTGCTCTGCAGTCCTCATGCACCTGCCAAGGTCCTGGGCTGCTGCGATCCTTGACCTGAATTGCAGTGAACAAGTGCAGAAGAGAGGAAATACTGCCCTTCCTGCTGTACAATTCTAGGAGATGTTCAACTGCTTACACCTCTTCAAACTCAGCATGTTTTGTTCTATGATCTATGGTTCTGTGAAATCCAGGAGGATGGCTGAGGTTGGCCGGGACATCTTGGTCCATCTGGCTCAACCACTCCTTAAGCAGGGACACCTGGAGTGCCCAGGACCATGTCCAGGTGGCTTTTGGATATCTCCAAGAAGGAAAGCTCAAGCTGTATATAAGGCTTTTATCTTGGAAGCGTGGCTGTGGTCCTGGGACACTTACTAATGAGCTCTCTTCTACCTCTTCCCAATTTTTATTTTCTTAAGTTGTAACATGAGGGATAACTTTATTCTGTGACCTGAGTGTCCTTGGTGGTTTTACTCATCTTCTAGAAAGCATGATGGGCAGCAGGAGCACTGGGTAGCCTGGCATGATGAGGGATAGGGAGGAGAAATGTGGGGGAAGAAGGAGGATGTTCTTTCTGTGCCACGTCCATCTCTCTCTCTTGCTCCCTCACCCCAGCCTCAGTCTCCCATTTGAGGAGGGTGCCGCCACCACTTCAGGTTAGAAAGCTGCTCATGTGGCCAATATATGCCGGTGTTTTGAAGCCCATCTTGGGGCATCTGTTAGAGATGAAATGTGGGAACAGCCGCAGCCTGAGATGGTTGTAGCTGACAGTTACAGCTAACCAGTAACTCCAATGTTTTGTTATCTTCCTGGAGCTATTTTCACAGTACTCATGAATGGCCTGCTTTTTACTCCTGACATGGTAAAAATGGCTGAAGAAAAACATCCCCGTTAGTTTGTAATGTAACTGGCAGGATTTGTAGCTTTCATGGCTTCTATGGGTTTGGGGTTTTTTTTGTTTTTTTTTTTTTTGTTTTTTTTTTTTTGTATTATCTTAAATTCTTGAGGAGAAGGTAACAAAACATTCAAGGGCAGATTCTTATCTCTTTTATATCAGTGCAGAGGAAGGATAACTTCTCACCGTGGGTTTGCATCATCTCATTTTCAGGCACAGTCTCTCAATTTTTAAAATAAATAAATGCCTCACTGCAGTTGCTGGAGTGCATGAGTTTTCTGCTCTTTTTCTCATTCATTAGAGTCTATTACAATAAAGTTTTTAAAACATAGGTCTCTTAGCACAGCATTTTGCATCATCTTTAAAGATAATTTTTTATGTACTGTGGCAGTGTTCACACAGCTGCATCAGAGGGAGAAAAACTAGAGAAACCCCTATGGCAACTCTAGGGCTGCATCCATGCAACTTCTGCTTGCATGGGTGGGCCAATGCTGTTCACAGCTGGATGTACTGCAGTGGCTGCATGTAGCCATCAGTGGGATTTTTGAAGTGAGAGGGTGCATTGGTACCCCTGCCAGTCTGGTCAGAGATTGGCCATTGGAGCTTCTCTGGGATACCATGAATTTGGAACAGGAGCTGGGGGTCCTCACGTTTGTTGGGCACCCTGCTCCAGATGTCCCTGCTTGAGCTGGGGTTGGACGAGACGGACTTTTGGGTCCCTGCCAACCTCACCACTCT